ATTGATAATTTAATAACATCTATTTTTATAAATTTGACTGAACTAAAATTAAAGCTTAATTATATAACATTTTATTCTGGTCTTCAGCTCTGTCTCATCCTATATAGTTCCCATTACAAAGTATAAGGCAGATATTTATGTGCATGATAGAATTGATTTTCTACTAGATTGGAAAACTAATTGTGTTTTATTGAATGATGGTTTTGTTAACAGTGGTTAACTGAAATGTGATTAGTTCCCGATATTTTCGATTTTTTTTAAATATATCCCCTTGATCACCTATCACTTTGTGGCACAGGTTTCTGAAATTACCTTCTATCAATGTAACCCTGATATTTTCTTTGATCTTATCTTTCAGCTATGCTCTTTCTATTTCCTAGCTACGGATGCTTGGATGGTAAGATATTGGGATGACCTCTTCTTCACATCAAGCAAAGCCTAATAATCAGAGTATTGTTGGCCTCAAGAACATTTCTTGGATAGTTTTGGGGTTTGTACACAGAATTGTAATTTAAATAAAGGTGTAGAAGTCCCATGAAATAGACCAACATAGGCCAAGAAATACATGGATTTATCAATGTTTTTCTTCACATACAGTGCATTTTTTGTGAGCACGCATGGGTGCAATTCTGTACCCATATCCCCAAACTCTGACGCGGCCATCGACTCTTTTTGATTGCTGGACATGTACATGAGTGTGAAGTCCAGAGCTGGAATGTCACCAGACCAAAGTCCATTTGACAACCAGTCTACCGTTCCTTGTACAGTATATACATGAGTAAAACCTAGTCTCCAATAATCATGACCATTCCCTAACTTTCTGATGTGTGGTTGTTATCACTGGTTCCATTAATCGCCTGGTTCCAATAATCTCCTAACCCCTAATTTCGTTTCGTCATGTTTTCTACTAATCAACTAGGCTTTTATAAGAACCATGAAAGTATTTCAATATCCCCTGGGCTTTTATTAGAACCATTACATTATTTCAATATCCCTACTTTTTTGGCCCTTTTATTGTTTTTTTCCTGATTACTTAAAATGCATATTCACTTCACTTTTGGGATTGTGACATTAAATTTCATAACAGTACGTAGTGAATATTTCAATTAGAATAACAATGTTCATGATGAAAACAAGGAAAGATATTGTTTATAGTACCAGCACAGGATTAGCCCGACCTGTCTCCATCATCTGAATCTGGATTAGCCTGCAGGCCTGCCTACAGCTCAATTTACAAGTCACCAGGCTCAATTCTGTCAACAGCCCTACAGAAACTAGCGTTGCTATGGTTGCACACCAAATTTATTAGTTTGTTCATTTCACAAAAGCATATGTTGAAGGCTTTGTTTTTAAATATGGGTTTTCATGAAGGCAATAACATTTGTCTATTTTTACACATATTTTACCCTACAAAATCTCAATTTTTACATATCTTTTAGAAATTTATTCTTACAGCTGTCTATTTAGAAATAATAAAACCAAAGGAAAAACTAGTTTACATAAAGTTTTAATAAAGTATTTGAATACAGGATTTCATTACTTCAATGCCCTTCTTCCACAAGACATTAAACCTGGGGCTCTCAATGTGTATTGTAGTGTAGTGTTTAGTAGCAAATTATAACAAGAGGCCCAGATATCCACCTGGATATCTAAGAAATCATGGCAAAACATTCTCCAAATGAGATCCAAGGAAATATGCCAAACCCCAAGGCCAATCCTTGTAGCATATCTCTATTACACTTTTCCTGCCCAGTAATCTTATGTATGGTTATGGGGTGTGGATCTCAACCATTTTAAAGTTATGACCCAGGGGTTAAATCTCCAACGATGGGGCAGTCCCCCAAGGCCATCCTGGAAGGTAATGTGCATATCTCAACTGTCTCCAAGCTGTGACTAAGAAACTAGGTCCCTAGGGTTGTGGCCAGACCCAAGGATCAATTCTAATGTCATGACTGCATTTGTCTCTTTATGCCCATGAATTGTATATATAGTTTTGGGTGGGGATCTCAACCATTTTAAAGTTATGACCCAGGGGTTAAATCTCCAACGATGGGGCAGTCCCCCAAGGCCATCCTGGAAGGTAATGTGCATATCTCAACTGTCTCCAAGCTGTGACTAAGAAACTAGGTCCCTAGGGGTTCGGTCAGACCCCAGGGTATATTCTAATATAATGACTGCATTCGTCTCTTTATGCCCAGCATTTGTATATATATTTTTGGGGTGGGGATCTCAACTGTTTTAAAGTTATGGCCTAGGGACTATGTCTCCAAGGGTGGGGCCAGACCCTAGGGCCATCTTGGAAGCAAATGTGCATTCTTCTCTTTATACTCAGTAATTGTACATATGGTTTTATGGTGGGGAAATCAACCATTTCCAAGCAATAAACTTTTTTGGCCCCACCCCTTAGCCCGGGGGGTCAGCCCCACCATTTGTACAATTTTGAATCCCTGCCTCCAATGAATGCTTCTGACCAAATATGATTGATATCCATGGCATAGTTCTACAGAAGAAGTCGTTTATAGCAATATAGCCAAACAACCCTTTTTGACCCTGCCTCTCAGCCACCTGGGGGGTCAGCCACACCATTTGTACAATTTTGAATCCCTGCCTCCCATGAATGCTTTTGATTAAATATAATTGATATCCAGTGCATAGTTCTACAGAAGTTGTTTGTAGCAATATAGCCAATTTGTCCCCTTTTGGCCCTTCCCCTCAGCCCCCTGGGGGGACAGCCCAACCATTTGTACAATTTTGAATCTGCACCACCTCAAATTTAGTTAAATTCCAATCAGTGGTAAAGAAAAAGAAGTCGTTTAAAGAAATTGTAGACGGACAGACGCCACGGTATGGCATAAGCTTTTTGACAACAAATGAAAAAGCCTTTAAAGCAAACAAGCCTGGCTTGAAAAATAAGACAATTTCAAAAATGTGCTACATATTTCTATCAATATATTGAGAATATTCCATATTCAAACATAAGGCAGGTATAGAATTGGTTTAGATGCATACATTGAAAACATTTAAAGAGATACCACCTGAGTTTGGTCTTAAAATATGAAACTTAGCATCGAAAACAAGCCATGAATCCTTACTAAGCACTACTAGATTTACTCCTATAACATACATGTGTAGGAGGCCAGTGGTTAGCTCAATAGCAATTTGTTTTATTGGATATAATAATGTGGTGCCTGTCAAAAGTATCCTGCAAAGTAAACCTCTATCATTGTTGGAGTAAACTAGTGTAAGCCATGATCTCGAAAAAATAATTTCTACTATTAACAATACCCAAACTTTCCTATTTTCTGTGACAATACTATTTTGATGACTTCCACTTCCTGGAACATGCACTGGCACAAAAAAAGGTGATATTGTGTTCTATTGCGGTAAAACATGCAAGTATTTTCTGTAACCATGTTCTTTGTGAAATTTTTTCAAATTCATTTTTAACATGTGTGACTGCACTCTAAACTAAGATTGGCCTAGTGGTTGGACAAGTCACACAAGTCATGTACAGTTTTGCACTGGTACTATTCGTCCCTTAGTTTACAAGATATGCAACTAATGCAAGCACAGCCGTATGATAAGCACCAAGTGAACAACTGGCAACATGTGGAAAACAAGGCAACTTCATGATCATAGAAACACTTTCCCTTTACGATTTTAATCACAACAATACCTACTGGATGACTGTTGGTGAGGTTTTAGAGCCAGATATATGCAGTAGCCATTGTGGCATGTTTAGAAACATATAATGTAGAAATTAGTATAGAATTTTGTTTCTCTAAGTCTAAGGTTGCATTACGATAACAGTACTGCATTTGAAATTCTTATTTGCATAAATACTTAAATAAACTAAATAGCCTACTGTGTCACATAATACCTATGCATATTTTAAGTTTCACCAATCTCAGCCCTGCTGCACCTTGACCGTAGATATTAACTCATTCACCCCTGAAGACACATTTGAACTCTTCCAATTCAAAGGTTGGAATAGTCCATCATGAAATTTCAGGGGTGACTGAGTTAAAAACTTCTTTATTGGTGTTAAGGTAGAAACAAGACATTAAATGTATAATTATGAATTATGATCAGTATCTTTCTGATGATTTAAATTCTCAAGATTAGCTTTAGCTTGTAAGCTGTTCTTGCATCAATCGTCACACTCTGGATATTATCCATTAACAAATCTGACCGAAGTGTAACTTAGTCCCATCATAATGTGATATGATACAACCCTAGGCCACACGTGCACCGAGGGCGGTAACAGGAAGTGGGTCCTCGTAGGAGATGACACCTTCCAGGATGGTATGTCAAGTAACCACTCATGACCACCGAGGACTGAATGCAATGTCGACTTCCTGAGCAGAATTGCATTACAGAGGCATTTTATAGTACATAGAAGCAGGCTACTTATCGACCACACTTGTGTATCACTAATTAACGTTTCTAAGGTTATCAAGGGCCTAACAACTGGTTGTCAAGGATTTACTAGCATATCTTTGCAACTGAGAAACCATTCATTAAATTTTATAAATTAATAATCAATATTGTATGATTTAGGAATGAAGCAATAGGTCAAAACTAAGGTAAATATATGTGTATCATCATGATCATGACCTTGGTAATCAAATGTAAAAATGAAAACTCCTAAAAATTGTATTTGTTATTGTTCTACCAGACTAGAAGCAATATTTGATTTTTGATTGCTCTGTATAACTTAAAGAAATTCATTATCATGCCTGAGTACAGTGCAAATATTGCAACAAATCTAAGCAGCAATATCAACAAAGACTAGCTGCAATTCTTAAATTTAAAATGGACATTAAGATTTTAAATTTTAGCTACAAAATGGGTCTTATGACCAATGCCCCTCCTTATCTCTGCTTTTGGATAGATTTTATCAACAGGTTATACATGTATGTACACTGATGCTTGTCTGGAACTGCCTGCAAGTTTAAAACAAAACAATGATTAAACACTGATAAAAGAATAGAGCCTACCTGAGTACAGGGTTTACGAAGGTTGACGCACAATCCATCAGGGTCTGTACTATAGTGATCTGTAAGATCTGATAACGTTCTAAATGTAACTCGTCTCGCAATGAAGAAGCCACCCTCATCCAATTGTCTTATTCTATAGTGCTTGACAGTGTCTCCATCACGTACTGAAAGAAAATATACATCTAGTTAAAAACATCAATTAAAAAGTTACACGTGCACATAAAATGTAGGGTAGGGCATGTTGAAATGTCTCAACGAAAATGTACAGCACATATTACTCCAATTGATAACTATTACTTCTAGATAGAAACTACAGGTCAATGTTTTCTTACTAATATAGTTGTGATTCTTACCCTCATATTGGATGCTTATATTAAACTTCCCAAGAAAAACAATGCATCCTGTTTATCTAATGATTTCCCAAATTAACATCATCCTGCATGTCAAGCCAAACACTTTCAGGACAACAAACAAAAAAAGGTAATCAGACTACACCATAAATACTTAAAATCGAAGTGTGGTGCATGTCAAGGGACACAGGTGCTGGACGCACTATTAGTAATATGATGTGTAAATACTATATATTACTATCAGTGTGTCCAGCACCTGTGGCAATGGACATCAGAACATCTAGATATTCAAGGTTTAACTTAAGTAAAACCATATCAAAGAGTAAGTGATAAACCTACCTGATAAGGAATAATCATTTCTTCGACTTTCACTGTCTCTTATCAAGAAAGCACCATGTTCATTTTCTATTGAAAGTAATTTTTTCTCTGCTTCAACACGTTTAATCTTTCCGAAATACCATCTGAAAGAGAAAGGGATGCAAAATGTGTGTTAAAAATGACAAAGAAGGAAAGACATGCTTTCAAATTGGTACATAAAACTACAATATCCCTGTACTTCTTGATCAACACAAATACCTGCAAATACATTTGAAATTGATTTCGTTGCATATTAAAGCATCAGTCAATTTCTTTGATTTTCATTATATTTCGATGGTATTTTAACTATTTTTGTGAAATATCATTTTCAAAGACTTACCAGTTTCGTTAACAAATTGCAAAAACAGTGTATTTTTGCCTTTAGTATATATCTCTAACCATTTTAGTATTGAAAAATGGCATCTAGTGACTTGGCAAAATGTTGCAATACAATTATTTTAGGTTTAAGTCAATACACAGCCCTATTATATATCTTTCATATACAATCCTGTACAGAAAGTTGGTATCATTGACATCAATTGTTTACAGCACACATATAAAATACAATGAAACAAAAATGCCTTGGAGTGATTTGCTGTTAAATACTATACACTAAGTTTCGTCTTACATTGTGTATTCCATCGATGTGTAATTGCAATGTGTACAACATATTTCAAGATAATATGGATGCATTTTTTTACTTACGGTTCCGATTCCAAACTCTTCAACTTAGCCACATAATTAGAAGGTATATATCCCTCGTTTTGTGTTGTTTTCGACCGAGCATACCACCAGTCACCTTGTGTATCGTTTATAATTTCTAAATGTTCCCCTTTCCGGAAGCTGAGGTCCTCCGCAGTCCTAGCATCGTAGTCATACAATGCTACGAACACTTTGGTAGTTGTCGGAGTGGTCTCACTCGTAGGCTCCGGCTGTGGGGTGGAAGATATGGACACTATGGGGCTTGTTGAGGGGGGCGGGGTGGACAATGCCACGGGAATGGGGACAGTGGGTGTCCCATTTGACAGTTCCTGTGCAGCCTTGTGTTGGGGAGTCGTCTGAGTACCAGGGACATTGCTTGTGTTGTCTCTCCGTAAACAATTCCCCATCACGCCAGTTTTTAATCTTAATCCACAGAATGAAACAGGATCTACCCACCTAAATCTCTGGTTTGGCTACATCACTCCCTTATACCTATTTTAACAGGAATATCGTTAATCCAGATCGGTTTTCTTCTCATCATCTTGAGTGATTACCAGACATGATGAAAACCGTACAACACCCAAGACAGTACTACGCATTGAAAAGTAGTTCTATTTATATTGATAAATAACATCCATTTCTTAACCTGAACATCATTATGTGATTATTCATTTCCACTCAGTTACAAGTGTTTAACTAGCTAATACTAGATCACGTACATTGTGATAACATAAATATTTCCATTACAATTTATTCATACGCAAAAAAGACCGAAGTACCAGGCAGGTGCCCGTTTCGATCGCTAATAATACATCGACGTTGGTTGGTCAAAAAATAGTTTCCGGTGCCGGATACCCGTTTCATGAGCCAATAAAAACGTGTTTAACAACAAATGTGAAGAGTGGCAAGTTAACCCGTTTATTAATTGCTGTAGGGCAAAACGATGCCATAGGTTATATTTTAGCAGAATTTCAAACGCTTTCAAATTGAACTTCATAAAAAAAAAAAAAAAACGATTAGGTATACGGATTTTCCTGCACTTTCGGAACTTATGATATTTCTGTTTTAAAACACATTTAAAAAATAACAAAATTTGACATGTTATAAAATAAAGTTCATTATAATTGATTAAAAAACTTAATTTGTTCAGAGACATACATTTTCTTTTCATTCTGCTGTATTATGTAAATGTGTACGTTTCAGGATGAATATAGAGTCGGACCGAATATCGATCTCTTTAAACACGGAATTAGATTATTCAGAGACTAATACGTATACGTCTCAGTGTTATTCTTATAAATAGTCTTCTTGCATATGAACTATTCGGTAACTTTTTTCAGCGAATAGGAATTAATTTCTATTTGTATTTAAGTAAATACTTTCGATATACATTATAAGATATGTTTTCTTCCTTACTTGTTTACTTGTATGTCACAAATGAAACTAGACTGACAAACTGTGAGCAGGCTCACAGATATACCCCTCTTTCCCCACCCCCAACCTCGCCCGCATCATCTTTTCTGGGTACTCTTTGGTATTTTTTAAATAAGTGTTAAAGTACCTATCAAATGTAACAAAATTGGTTGTTATTTTATAAGAGCCTTCTCGTGCTTATGTCTACCACTTTCTGAATACATGTACTGGTGTCCTAGATAATGATATATTAACATATTATCAAATAACTCTGGTCCAACCGGTCCAACCATTTGGATCGCGATAAAAGAAAGCGATCATAAAAATACTAAACACTTCGATTGCAAGGGGTGTAATAATAATAATGTCAAGTTTAAAAAAAAATCTAACAAGAGGTTTGGGAGAATTCGCGCTTCCATTATTACTGGACGGTCAGACAGGATGATTCCTATCCAACCATAATGGACGAACGGACAGGGTGATTCCTATACACCCCCTTCCCCGCGCCTAAACTTCGTTTTTCGGTGGGTAGACCTTGAGGGAAAAGCAGAGCTATCTGTTCTTATTTTTTTTTTATACCAGTGACGTATATATGTAACAGGTTGCTATTTTGTATCCATCAAAATTTCGATAGTTATAATTGTTCCATATTTTTGTATTTTTTTTTTGTATTCGACATCTACATTTTTTTGGAACGATTTTTGAAAAAAGGTTATTACTAGTAAAAAAAAGAAAATAGAAGTAATATAAAAGGAAAACGACAAGCACGGTATGCCAGGTCTTCGTTCGTCAGGGTTAATGTATATTAGCCACTAAATGGGGAATTTTTGAATTTAGCTAAACCTTTATTCTATAAATCAATTCTTGGAAAAAGCGGTATGTTATTTTTTTGGTGAACGAAAACGAGTCTTGAAAATAAAGATACTATTTTTGGAACACAATTGCATTAATGATTGAATTCGATCAACAAATTGGTTTATAAGTCTAATATGAAACATTATGAATATTGTACAAAAAATCCCCAATGGTCTTTTCCTACCTACATTAATAAGTAAACTGAAATCAGTTCTAATATTGAGAGAAACATTCTGCAAAAAAATATATGTGGAAGTGACGAGCTTTTTATCAATGATTTTGTTGTCTGTTACATGGCTTTCAGATAGATACAATCTTGTATAGGTACATCATGCAGGTTAATTCATCGTATCAACATCCTTGATACTTCAGGGGTTACGCTCACTTTCGCTCTCTTCGCTCCTTGAATACGCCATATCAAATAGCATATATGAACATAACTCTAAAGTTATTGGGATTAACTGATCTTATGTAGATGTTTTTACTTCACGTCCTCTGTGTCTTCTCTGCAATTTGTCTCTCACTTGCTATTTCTTTCCCTGCCTAACATTTGGTTATTTTACCAATACTATTCTCAAACTCCATCCGCTTTCAATAAATTGATAATTAAAAAAGCAAATGTAGCGAACATTGGATACCGAAATATTCCTCACAGAGAAAGAGATGTTGGAGACGACGTCATTTGATTTATATTTTTAGGTCACCTGAGACAAAGTCTCAAGTGACCTATTGCGATCGCCTTTAATCCGGCGTCGTCCGGCGTCCGTCGTGCGTCTAAAAACAATTTACATTTTCGACTTCTTCTCTGAAACCCCTGAACCAATTTCAATGAAATTTTGCAGAAATCTTCCATGGCCAAAGGTCAACAAAATAGTGGCCGATTTGGTCCCCAGCCCCCAGTGGCCTGAGGGGCGGGGCCAAAGAGGGTCAAATTGACTAAAATTTCAAAAAACTTCTTCTCAAGACCCGGATATGGTAGAATCACATTTCCCCCCTGGGGAGGTGGTAAACTTTACTATAGTTTATATAGGGAAATCACATTTTGGACCAACATTTGTTTAATTTCCATTGGAAGTAATTCAATTTAGGTTAGCATTATCAGTATTAGGTAGCAGTTTGATAGTATGCACATATGAGCCCTGACTGACCCCCAGGGGCTGATGGGTGGGGCCAAAAAGGGTTGAATTGACTGAAATTTCAAAAATCTTCTTCTCAAGACCCAGATATGGTAGAATCAAATACTCTTCATAGATGGAAGGGTCTTAAGGTGCTTTACCGAAATTGTGAATTTCTTGACCCTGGGGTCTCACGTTTCCCCCTTGGGAGGGGGTAAACTTTACTATAGTTTATATAGGGAAATAACATTTTGGACCAGCATTTGTTTAATTTCCTTTGGAAGTAATTCAATTTGGGTTATCATTATCAGTATTGGATAGCAGTTTGATAGTATGCACATATGAGCCCTTACTGACCCCCAGGGGCTGATGGGTGGGGCCAAAAAGGGTTGAATTGACTGAAATTTCAAAAATCTTCTTCTCAAAGATCCAGATATGGTAGAATCAAACACTCTTCATAGATGGAAGGGTCTTAATGTGTATGACCCTAGGGTCTCACGTTTACCCCATTTGGAAGGAGGGGGTGGGGGGGGGAAGTTTATTATGATTTATAATGGCAAATGATACTTTGAATATTACATGTTAATAACTTGATTGGAGTTATAACCCTGAGCTGACAGTTTGATACTTTGAAAATTTTGAGCCAGCCCTACCCCCAAGGGCTGTAGGGTGGAGTCAGGGTGCTAAAATTTCTTCACTTTCCTTGTTTAGAATCAGAGGTGCTAGTTTCAAATACTTTTTAGTCTTAAATCTGTATGCTAGATATTGAATAAGGTGGTTTTATTGTTTTTTGTCACTTTGAATAATATTTCTGTTCGTGTTAAAAACAAAATCAACTCTCTGTATAAATATATCAGGTGACCGTTAAGGCCCATGAACCTCTTGTTTTACATTATAAACAAATTCAATCGTGAAGCTAAGTCATCTTATGAATAAGTAAATGCACAACCATGTGTGAAGGGCGTCGAGTACATATTTAATAAGATTGCTTAAAATGTCCTTAAACGACGAAAAGCAACAGAAAATATACATGGTATCACCGATTATATGTTATCTGTTTCAAGGAAGATACTCATAATAGATTGTTTCGAACTTTATTTTGCGAATATTTGGGAACTTACAACTCATTGTTCTTCTCATATCTACCGGGCTCCCTGAGAGTGTTATAATATATAAATCACGGGAAAAAAAGGAAGAATAAGGCCCAAAATATCGCCTGATTGCTGAATAAAATTATAAAAATGAGCTATTTCCTAGGTGACCGTTTAACCGCTTGGGCGATCGGAATATTATCCAATCTCCGTGCAATCCCATTTATCATTTATTACATTTTATTAATGCACGTACTTAGATAATCTAATTCCGTGATTATTATTATTATTAATATTATTTTCACTTGTGAAATGAAACCTTCCGGACTTCACCTATCCGTAGCCCTACAGGTGTTTAGAATAATTGTCAAACCGGAAACTACCCGAAAGGTAGTTCAGATTTGAGCACAAAAAGAAGTGTTTTTAGAAGATACCCACTGGAACATTAATCATACAAGGAGATGAAATATCCACACTTTAAAGGTTGAAATGAACCTCATTGTTATTGTGAGTTGTCAATGTAAAAAGATAGGTTCTAAATAACTCTTTTCAGTCGTGTAATCCTACTTTCTCTTTTGATTGGCCGCTTGCTATTTCCCACGTCATGGACTTCAGTATGTGCTTCCCAGTAGCTATTTAGAACCAACGATAGTAAATAAACAAAACAAAATGGAAGAAACTGATATAAATGTATTCAGGCTTTAAGTTTTAAAAGACAAATATTCACAGTTTTATCAAATAAATTCTCAGGAGTCGATATTTTGTGATCAAATTTTTAATTTGTTAGCCTAACTAATTCTGTGATTCGAAATTTCAGAGTCAGTCATTCAATATAAATTAAATAGTGCAATTATTTCATTTATTTAAGCAAATCTTAACAACGACCCTAGTTTGAACCCACTAACAATATTTATTCTACCTACCAGTCTCTTACGATAAGCATGTCAGAGTTATCTCCCATGTAACACTGAAAAAACTCCATGGAGTTTTTTCCACTTTGCATTTAACAAATATCCGCAGAAAAGTTATTTTTTACACAACTGCAGAGGGATTATAAAGCTGGCATTGAAATTGCATGCATTTTTGGCAACTTGACACTACATTGCACTTAATTATTATTAATGCTTCACAGATTGTTACCATAATTTGTATGAAAGGAGTTAGAGTACAGTAACCCATGGAGCCAGAGGGGTAAGGAATACCAATGGGCCAATAAAGGGTAAACTTAAGCTATTTACTTTTCGAAAATATACTCCTTAAAGCCAGGATTGTTGGCATATTTAGTCTGAATTA